GACTTGTTGGTGATACTGCCGCATCAAAGATAAAACACAGAATTGTTTTCATTCAAAGACAACCCGATTTCTAGATTTCCAAATCCGTCATAGGGCCGCAACAACAACCATACTCTGACGGGGCTGACTAAGCAGTAACGTCCACTTCTTCAGAAAGAGGGGGAAGTTTTGGCGAGGCAACCCTTGGCCTATAGATTCTAGGCCAGCATGATCCCATATTGCCCTTGCCACCGGGCACTAAAAAAATGATGCTCCATCCATAGTCTCTGCACAGCCCAACAAACCAGGCATCAGGGCAACACTTGAACCTCTCTCTCAATCAACGCTTCCATGATTGGGAGAATGCAAACAATAAAATAAAACATATTACATGTAAAAGTAAAAGTAAAATGATAACATTATATTATACCATAAAAATTTATGTTAGAATAACACCAAGCAAACGTCCCAGTTAAGTACACAGGATAAAATAAAAATTATAAAAATGAAAAACTAGCTACATTAATAATCTAGATAGTGGAAATTTCTTACCTCGTTTCACTCTCTTGTGTTTTTCTCAATGTTATAAGAACCAGACCGGATTAATAGTTGGAGTAGTAGAACCACTAAATCACGTACAATAGTAGTTCAGTTTATTTGATTAGACCGTTAAAAAGGAATCAAATTGTTTGACATGAAACTATATGAATCACTTTGATTTAACTGGTCCATTGCTTCACTATATTAATCACAAATTTTTTTTAAAAAAAAACTTTAACGTAAACTAATACCATCCAGCCTCAATCACAAAACTTTATTTATGCTTCCTTTGTTTTATTTTTCATCATCCTTGTCGAATTTATCTGGTTCAATACATATTACCACTCTTATTATTGATTTGAATTTAATAAAATAATTATGATTTCTTTCGTGTGATAATTTGAATGTTTTGTTATAACTTCTTGGTGACAGATGATATGGATTTGGATGTTCTTTATGATTAGTGATAAATACACTCCTAAATTAGTGTATTGTATATCTTTTATATTATATCTTATGAATAGTTCTATAACCATTAACAGTTAAATTATCAATTACTAACTTTCCCGGTGCTAACATTGATTTTCTCTTTATCACCATAATCTCTTCCACCACGATCCATGCACCTGAGATCCGATATCACAATTCCTCTTCCACCATGATCGTCGCTGCTCCTCATCAGTTACCCCGACTACTCCTCCACCACAATCACATCCCGCCGAGAACTCTTCATCCACCACGATATCATCCCTCGGAATATATTTCGTTTACTGTAGCTCGCTGGCTCCTTCATCATTTATGATTTTTCTCTATCTCCAACTATTAACTGTGGAAGGTATTGCATGCGCATGGAGCTTCGTCTGTAATGTTCGACTTCGTTCAATAAAATTAACTAATTATCATGCATATCGGTTTTTTGCCGCTCAGTAATCAACTTAAACTCAATGAAAGAATTGTTAGGATTGGAGAAGTGCTGATGTTAATTTTAGGAGTAGGCTTCCAGTGAGCTAGGCTTTAATCAACTTAAACTCAATGAAAGAATTGTTAGTGAATGATGTATGATCCACGATTGAACCTCTCCCAACAATTCGAGTTATTGGGACCAACTGGTTCTTGACATGGTATCAGAGCCTCATGTGACCGAGAGGTCTTGTGTTCGAATTCCGGTGACTCCCATTTATGAAGCACATGACATCGTGTATTCAGACCTGTGCAAACGAAAGCCCTTATGAGGTGCTTGTTGACAAGAATATGCTAATTTGAAGACACATATTAAACATTTCCTGCTCATATATTGTAGACATCATCCTTGTGGCAAGCTGATGTCACAAATATTATAGAAGAGTAATTAAAAAGGATTAGGAAAACAACAAAACTAGAGGTGGCAATTAGGATCCAAATCCATGAATCCAATCCAATCCATCCACCAAATTATCCACTTAATCCAATCCATTTAAATCCAATCCATTTGATCCAAATCCAATTGGATTGGTGGATTCATGGATCAATCCATGGATCCAAATGGCAAATTACGATTTGGCACCTATATTTTTTATATTTTACATTTTGGTACCTAAAATTTATATTTTTATACGAAAAATATCATTGGAAAATTACGTTTTGGTACCTAAAATTTTTCATTACGACATTTTAGTACCAAAACTTTTCAAATTTTACATTTTGGTCCAAGCCTTTGATGTCATTTGGATTCATGGATCAATCCACCAATCCATTGGATCCAATCCATGAATCCACCAATCCATTGGATCCAATCCATTTGATCCATGGATCCACCAATCCAATCCACGAATCCACGAATCCGATCCAATTGCCACCTCTAAACAAAACCAATTAATAGTGGCGCCAAAATGTGTGGATGACTGGAAGATGATGATGAGAAAATTCCAAAGAGGAACAGCTAATTAGTTCAGCTGATCAGTGGATGGATGGATCGAGAAAAAGGGCGGTAGTACGTTACGTAGGTGCGGCCAAAAATTTGCATGCCCTCCTCAACAGGTAACCCTAACCTCAAACCACAGCCTCACGTACTAGCTAGCTTCTTATTAGATTCAACGACTGTTACCGTGCAAGCATCATCGTCAGTTGCCAGTTGGTCACACACTGCCTCCTTTTGCTTTCTTTCATTGTCATTATCTCTCATCATCGTTATAGATTTGATCCTGCAGCAACAGCAAAGCATATTATACCATCGGAGTATACTTCCAAGCATATGCTTCCAACACACATTTATAGAAAAGAAAAAAAAAAAAGAAAAAGATAAGTCCTGGCTGCTTCCTCCGGCACCATCAATTCCCGGCCCGGCTGCAAATCTTAATCAGCTGTATTTATTAAAAACCATCCGACTCCTTCATTCAATAGCAAAAGTACCCTCCCTCACTTATCTTGTCCATAAATTGCAGATCGAGAGAGCCAAAATTGACAAGCTAAGAAATGTAAGCCCTGAAGAAATTTCCCCTTCCTTCCCACAACTCCCAACATCCTAAAACAGAGCTACCAAGAGATGGTTAAGATCGATCGAGCAGGCAAAAGAATCAGATATGCTAATTTATGCTACTACTGGACTGTACGTGGTTGAGTACTGGACACGTGTACGGCGATCGACTTAAGCCGGACATTACGACATGTAGGTGAACCTGATATATACAAGTTGAGTTTTATTTCGATGTTGTAGCCTACTGTACTGTCGTAGGACCTGCACGGATTTCCAACATATACCAATCGCCGGCCAGTTCGGAACGCGGACACGTGTACGGCCGATTGAATAACTATATATATACACATCCATCATGCATGAACGCGATTGATGCTTACTGTTCTAATTAACTACAACCACAAAGAATAATAATCATGGACTGGAATTATTATATGAGTGATACAAAATACATTGTTCTAGTCTGAATTATATCAAAATAATCAACTTTGATTTGTGGTTTCAGAAATTATTTTGACCGAAATAATCAAAATTATGTGCAGTTCAATTTTTATCATAAAAAAAATTTCATGAAAATTTACTGGTGCAAACTGATATCGACTATAACATTGAAAGTACATTTTCAATTTGTAGTATAAAAGGTTTTGTTAACAAAAACACTGATGCTTATAAGTATAGTAGCGGCGCTCTTATTATGTCCATGTTACGTACAGGTCTAGTGTCATAGTGCCGTGGATAAGTTTGTAATAGTGATCATAAGAATATTGCTTATGTGATAATGATTTGAAATCATAAATCCAGCCAGAGTTTAGAGTGCTAAGACCCAATTTTTTAGCATGATTCTAACACTAGGTCTAGCTAATAGGAACATTTTTTATGACTTTTTTATTAGTCATGTGGTTGACCACAATTAATGCATATTTGTAAAGTGATGAACATGCTTGTCATTATTAGAAAATAAATGAACACGCCCATATGGTGTTGGTCATTAATTATGTGTCTCCCGTCTTACCACAAGTATCATGAAGCAGGCTACAAAACATAGACCAGAAACACAAAAAAAAAAAAAAAACCATAAGTAACATAAAGAAACCATAAACCTTACAAAGCATACTAGAACCTTACCGCACCGCCAAATTCATAAAACATATAACGAAAACTCATAGCAAACCGTACGCTTCTTAAAACATACAATAAATCTCATAAAGCATACCGCAAGTACCCTGAAGCAGACCAGATACCTTTTAAAATTGACCACAATTTTCTTATAGCATACATGAAACCACATAAAACATACCACAAGTTTCCTGAAACATACAAGAAATCTCATAAAGCATATATACCACAAATTTATTGAAGCATACCACAAGTTTCTTAAAGTTGACCACATACAAGTTCACTGAAGCATACCATAAATCACATAAAGCAAACCACAAGTTTATCAAAGTAGAGCACAAGTTTCTTAATGCAGACCAGAAACCTCATAAAACAAATTACAAGTTTCTGAAAGGGTATTAGAAACCTCATAAAATTGGACTCATTTGTAAATTTATAACTGGTTAGGTGTAAGTCATATTTTGAAACTATAGAATACAGTTAGTGGTAGTTTTCGTGGGTGAATAACTTGTGCTGAACATATATACTAATTAAGCTGAACAAAAAAGGGTAATCCCAACGAGAGCAACGACCAACCTACCTACCTATCCAAAAAACCACTTTGCCAGTAAATGGCAGTATTATACGTTGTGGTTGGGGAAAAGGTGCAGGGGTATTTTTGGTAACCCGCAAAATAATTAGTGGAGTTCACTTGCCCCACTTAACATCCCACCCCTGGCCCTGCATTCCCTTGCCTTTATAAGAAGGCAGTGCCGCCGTTGAGAGCAAGGTACCTGGACAAAGTTGCAGCATTTCACTCCAACACATCATTTCCTTTGTGATTCCTGATACCAGAAACCCAAGGTTTTTTTTTTAATCGCGAAATCATCTCATGGAAAACAAATATATATATTTTTTTTAATGTTTCGAGGTATTTTATTTTCTTGTGTGTTTTTTTTTACACATGTAGTGACCGAGAATGGAGAAGGCGACGAGCTTGTCGGGATTGGTGAGGACGAAATCGGACCAACTGGTGGAGACACTAGCGGCGGCGTTCAAGTCCCCGCCGTCTTCGGTGGCGGCGGGGTCAGGAGGGAGCGGTGAGGTGTCGGAGAGCGTAGGAGCGTCGAGGAGGTCGAGCCGGAGGATGACGGGGGCGTCGCCGGGAAGAAGCGGCGGCAAGAACACGCACATCCGCAAGTCCCGGAGCGCGCAGATGAAGTTCGAAGTGGAGGAGATGATCAACAGCGGGGCGGCACTCAGCCGAGCTTCCAGCGCCAGCTTGGGGCTTTCCTTCTCCTTCACGGGCTTCAACATGCCCCCCGACGACATCATCGCCGATTCCAAACCCTTTAGCGACGACGACATCCGTAAGTCCGCCTCCTGCGTTCTCTTCCTTATATTTCCCATATTACGTTTTTATCTCATTTTTAGCCACAACCATCCTGTTCAATAGGGACGAAACTAATATAATTATCCAACTGACCATACGAAATCCACAATATAGTTCATCATCGGGGAAAAAGGGAGCATGTTGTGAAGGTTTGTAAATGGAAAAAAGATACGAATTTTAAATGAATTTTTTTTTGGGTAAAACAGGGTGCAAAATTAATAGCATTATGATATATATGTAACCCAAATCAATCTTAACTTAAAAGGTCTAAAAAAACCCCCAACAAATACCTTGCTTCTAAATATACCAAAGCTAGGCTACAAAATTATATAGACATCATAGTAAAAGATACAATTTTCAATTGAGTTTGATCGCTAGAACGGTTAATCATTGTATTTTTTGCCGTTTCTTTTAACACTTTTAGTTCACGGCGAGATGAATTATATGACCCTTTTTATTTCTTAGTGGTTTGCTTGGAAGCTCTATTAAATTAGAGAGGAGGAGATTGAGCAATAACTTAAATAATGCTTATCGAATGGGAGTAATTTATTTATTTATTAAGGGGTATGGTATTGGTATGGGCATGAAAAGGAAAAGTGAATAATAGTATTTGGGGAGAAATGGAAATTGAGGAGGAGAGGAAATATGGGTGGTGGAGGTTGGATCGACGTACGTATGAGGTTTGGATTTGGCCGGAAACAAATTAAACAGATCTTTCTTCAATTCAATCAAACTATACACGCACTAATGTGTTGTTGCATTCAACCAATCGCTCCTTTTGTGTGAGATGGAAAGAGAGGGTTGGAGCTTAGCTTTTAATTTTGGGTGTCACGCATAGACAGATAGATACATTACATGCCTTGCCCACCAACCTACGTACGTACCATAGAGTTTGAGGAGTTGTTACTCAGACATCATTATTGGTGACCAAATAATTATTGAGTTCACGTTTGCCTTTTAGTTTGTTTTACCTTTACGAGTAGTGTGAAGCCACGACTCTTTAGGATTGCGATGTGGATGGTTGGGTGGCAGTGGCGGAGGCAGCCGTTTGGGCATTGTCCAGAAACAGGGTGAATTTCGATGGAACAAAAATACGTCATATATATTTATATTGGTGATGGAACACAACATTTATAGGTAGTATTAGAATATTCTATCTCTACAACACAACTCAATACTTGTCCAAATTTAACATAAAATTAATTTATTATACTATCAACGAAATTCCAATTGCAATAAAGACCTAATCGGGCCTCTTTTCTCCTTATGCCTATTCGATCTTTTCCCCAACAACCCTGAAATTGTCTAGCGACTACGACAATCCCACTAGTTTTGATCTACCAATTACAACTGCAAGCGTAAAAAGAGCATTTTCAGCTTTGAGTTATATTAAGAACAAGTTTCCAAGTCGATTTGGTGACCAATTTGCTAATACTTATTTAGTAAGATACATTAAAGTAACTTATATAATAGTGTAGACAACAAATGTTTTTGCGTTTCTTTCACTATTTGAAATTCTTTCGTAGTTGTTTCTGAAAAGTACGATTGTATAATCGATTATTTTTAATTTATGAATGAATTATTCATATATAATTTTTTTATTAAATAATTTTTTTATTAGATACTTATATATTTAAGTTCTAAAAAAAAGACAGGGGTGGTTTGAAATGCTGCCTCCACCACTACTACTGGTGGGTGGCTGAGGTTGATTACATCCCATATACAGACATACGTCTTCAGCTGTGGTAAATAGAGGGTTTAGCCGTTTAGGGTTTTCAGGATTGAGGACAAACTAACTACTCAAAACAATACATACTAGAGAAAATTAAACTCTCCCTTGTTAGTTAGTAGAGATAGATCGATCCCTCCCAATCCCCTCCTTGGCTTTATTTGATAGATTGAATTGAAGAAAATTAGGGAAGATAAATATAAACAGTCTGTCAATTTTGTTTCTGTCATCACTCTCATTCGGGAATGGATCAGGTCAGTAACCTTATGGTGAGTAACCATGAGTAACCCGTCCACATCAGCATGACATCAGCATCCTCTCTCTCATAGAAAACCTTTAATTTTTCCCTTTTTAATCTTTGACGGACGATTTCTCGCTCATTTTAAGTCAAAATTTAATTTTTTTTGCACAGTTAGATCAGATTAATTGTGCTCTTCAAAATGATATCCACTTTAATATATTTTTCGAACAAAAAAAATTGAGCCATTTTTTACCAGCATATACCATATGGTATTGACTGGTATTGAAATAAAAGCATACATATGTTTTGAAAAACGTACCATGGTGGTATGAACAAACCAATACTGTAGGATGGTTGAATACATGATAGTAGAAGTATATTAATTGTAATTTACGACTTTTAACATTGTATACCACACAATACCACCCCGTACCACGGTGGTATTGTATGGTATTGTGTGGTATTTTTTGGTCCTGTAATTTGTTCACCCAGAAATTTGTAGATCCAATAGATCATGATGAACTCGTCCCTTCTGTGCAAACGTTTTCAAAAATGAATTAAAAACGAAGAAGATACCATACAATATCACCCCGTACCAGGGTGGTATTGTATGGTATTGTGTGGTATTTTTTGGTCCTGTAATTTGTTCACCCAGAAATTTGTAGATCCAGTAGATCATGATGAACTCATCCCTGCTGTGCAAACGTTTTCAAAAACGAAGAAGATACCATATAGTATGCAGTTGGTACCGAGAGGCCAGAATTTTTTTTTTCTAAAAAAATATTGAAAATTGATCTCATTTTGTAGAGCACGGTGAACTCGTTCCATCTGTGCCAAAAAAATTAAAATCCGAGTTAAAACAAAAAAGATATGAGTCAATTAAGAAAGCTAATGAAAATAAAAATAGTCTTTAATTCTCCATCCTTAGATCTGGATTTTCTAAATGAAGGGTCCAGATTTGATTATTGATGGGTGCATAACCCATGGTTATGCACCCTATCTTGAGCCCTCTCATTCGGGTTGTATATAAATGATTGAAGTTTTTGGAAATATAAGGCCTTTTCCTTGGGCCCCCAAATCATATGGACCAAGAAATTTTTGCTTTGGATCTCATATACATAACATACGCTCCACAAAGTAAAGAAGGCTGGCAATGGCAGCCAGCAACTTGCATGTCCATTCCCAGCCACCGCCAACTAGGGATGACAACCCGTTAGACAACGCCATAACGGGTATACTTATTTTTTTTTCGTTGAATAACGGGTATACTTATTGGGTAACTAGATCTAATTATCAGGACGAATATGGATATTGGGTTGGATAAAAGATTTATTATATGCCCTTATAATAATTTTGAGCCTGTGTTGGGTTTAGATGGTTTTCAATTTGGGTTAACCCGTTTGTTTCACATAGTTTATTTGGATTATATAAATATACACACGATAAAGGTAATATTGACTATTTTAATCTGCGCATTCAACCCATTGACACATTCAATCTTGGGGTTTTCACATTTATGTTTATTTTAGAACAAAGAGAAAAGAAGAAGAAAAATATCACATTAGAGTTGGATATCCATGTTCTTTTGTGTATCCAACGTAATGATTCTAATTTAGACCCAAATTAAAAAGTTGGGTATGTTCGTATGTGTATGCCCCATATGTGATTTTAGTTTTACCTGACAATAATTTGTGTGTGGACAATACTCAAATTGTGGGTCGTTTTTGCCATTCCCATCACCATTCAATGCTAACGAATTCCACCTATTCCACGCCAATCTGACTATGAAGTTTGCTAATAGCCTTTTGTATGTGCTTATAATGTTTATAGTCGTCCAACCAAACACTAGATGTCTTATAATTGTTGAATGAACATGTGACATTTTATTTAGGAGCGACCAACTCCTGATCAAACCCCTCTGGGCATTGTAATTTGTAAGCACATCCTTACTTTATGAGCACCCTAGATTGATTCAAGCACATTTTGATTCTTGCTTCATTCTTTTTATCTTCTTCTTTTTTCCCTGTCCTAGGCAACAATCATCACCTAATTCTGTCTATTTACACAGAAATACAATTTTATTTGCATTTGCTCAATGCTTCATGCTACCAAGTGGACTCATTTGGACCCATTGTAGTAAGTTGAAATTGTGGAAAAGGAAGACAGGGCAGAGTAGCAGACTACACTAATGAAAGCCAAAGTCAAACGAGTGGGACCAAACTGAAGATGAGGAAGAATGAATTATTGTTCTGATGGGGAGTTTTGGAAGAAGGGTCAAAATCCTTGACTCTGCAGACTTTCCCCATCACTTCACAATCGTCCCATTCCTGAAGAAAATATCCACTACTTCATGGCTTCAATGCTCTTACAATGAGTCTTCATTTTAGTCTGTCACCAGCGTCATGATCATCAGTTTCCCCATATCTGTTTGTTTCCTTGAACTGAAAACTCTGCCGCCGAAACTGACCTTCTGCCCAAATTGCAGTAGCTGCAACAGTGGGGGTTAACTTTTTGGTTGCCTAAAACAAATGATCATATATCATATTTACATGCATCTGGTGAATATTTTGCATAAGCCATTATTAACCAAGCGAAAGCTATCAAATGGTTTGTGCAGCTGAAGATATAGAGGCTGGAACCGGAAAGCTCAAATTCCAGACTGAACCCACCTTGCCAATTTATCTCAAGGTCAGAATTCTACTCCCCTCTTCTGCTCTTTTCTTCTTGGCTTTCAATTTTCTGCTTCATTGCTTATGATTCCCATTTTCATGTGTCCATTTTAGTACACTAAGTTTCCTGCATGATGGGGAATGCTGATTTGATAATTGATTAAACAACAGTTGTATTTTTGGACAGGCAAAAGTGGGGGAGTTTTATTATGTATTGGGAGAAACAGAGAATTTTCTTCCTACCCAATGCCAATTAAAATACCATTTCATGCTCAATTGCATTTCCTTCAGGTTCATATATCTCATTGTCTTGTCTTGTATAGACCAAGTCTTTCCCTCTCACTCTCACTCTCTCTTCATTCATTCATCATTCTAATGTTCAAAACGACCCTTCTTTCCATTGAAGTTGTTCTGCAGCTTGATTTTGGAGGGGGTGGTTTGTATAGAGTGAGAGACAGTTTCCCAAGTGTTTTTAGACCTCTTTTTGAGTCCTTTTGAGTTCATCTGCAGTCAAGGAAAGAAGGGTATGGACTGTCTTTCCCCCTTGCCATGTTCTTAAACCTTAATAAAAGTATCGACTAATAGTCTCCTGAATTGTGTGTAAGTAGAACTTGGGATCTTGACTTGCAATAATGCAAATGGTGATTATGCAGTTCAGTGATGTGACATACAAGGTGGTGATGAAAGGAATGACTTCAACCCAGGAGAAAGACATCTTGAACGGAATCACAGGCTGCGTCAACCCTGGTGAAGTTCTTGCTCTCATGGGGCCTTCAGGAAGTGGGAAAACCACACTTCTCAACCTGCTGGGCGGGCGGTTGAACCAGTCCAATAACCGGGGCGGCTCAGTCACTTACAATGACCAGCCTTACTCAAAGTCCCTCAAAAGCAGGTAGTTGAAACTTGAACAATGAGCTCTCAAGTCTCAACGGACTCAACCCATCAATCAGGATTCTGATAAACCATTTTCACTCGGTGTTTTTTCACAGGATAGGATTTGTGACTCAGGATGATGTCTTGTTCCCTCATTTAACCGTGAGAGAAACGCTGACATATGCTGCCCTTCTACGACTGCCGCGTTCACTGTCTCGAGAAGAGAAGACAAAACGAGCAATCGATGTCATCCAAGAACTTGGCCTCGAGAGGTATTTTCTCATCAGCAACCTTGCTGCAATGTTGCTTGGATCTTAGCAAAATTTAACCTTAGTGCTACAATCTACTGAAGAATTGGCTCAATTGAAAAGTTGTTGACTTTTTTCCTCCCCAATTTTGACCACATACGAGCAGATGCCAGGACACGATCATCGGCGGGTCGTTCGTCCGGGGAGTCTCCGGCGGGGAGAGGAAGCGAGTCTCGATCGGGAACGAGATCATCATCAACCCTTCGCTTCTCTTTCTCGACGAACCCACTTCCGGGTTGGACTCCACCACCGCACTGAGGATCGTCCAGATGCTGCAGGAAATTGCAGAGGCCGGCAAAACGGTGGTCACCACAATTCACCAGCCCTCCAGCAGGCTGTTCCACAAGTTCGACAAGCTGGTGCTTTTGGGGAAAGGAAGCTTGCTCTACTTCGGGAAAGCGTCGGAAGTGATGGCGTATTTCTCGTCGATTGGGTGTAACCCTCTCCTGGCGATGAACCCTGCGGAGTTCCTTCTGGATCTCGCTAATGGCAACATAAACGATGTCTCGGTGCCTTCGGAATTGGAGGACAAAGTTCATGTGGGGAGTGGTGAAGCTGACACCAGAAACGGGAAGCCCACTCCTGCCATTGTTCACGAGGTAGCTAGGCATTCGAAGTTGCAACCTTTCTATGGGAGGAGGCTCCATTGTAATGCTTTTGGCTGAATTTCGACAATGAATTTTCTTTCTTATCAGTATCTGGTGGAGGCCTACGAGACACGAGTTGCCAAGAGGGAGAAGAAGAAGCTGTTGGCTCCAATACCTCTAGATGAAGAAGTGAAGTTGAAAGTCTCATCTCCAAAACGACTGTGGGGAGCAACCTGGTGGGAGCAGTACAATATACTGTTCTGCAGAGGGATCAAGGAGCGCCGCCATGACTACTTCAGCTGGTTAAGAATCACACAGGTGGTCTCCACGGCAGCCATATTGGGCTTGCTCTGGTGGCAGTCTGATACCAGCTCTCCTAAAGGTCTCCAGGATCAGGTAAAAAACAAAAAGGGTGAAGCCTGGTCTCGTTTTTTTGAAATTCAAAACACTCCAGAGGTGAAAGAGATCAAACCATTTTGTGGTATGGAATTGGTTTTTTGCAGGCCGGGTTGTTGTTCTTCATCGCTGTGTTCTGGGGATTTTTCCCGGTTTTCACCGCCATCTTCACATTCCCTCAAGAACGTGCGGTGTTGAGTAAGGAGAGATCGGCTGATATGTACAGGTTGAGTGCATATTTCATGGCCAGAACTACAAGTGATCTTCCACTGGACCTGATTTTGCCAGTTCTGTTCCTTCTGGTGGTGTATTTCATGGCCGGGTTGAAAATGGGCGCTGCTCCCTTTTTCTTGACCATGATCACAGTTTTTCTCTGCATTGTTGCAGCTCAGGTTAGCCCAAATTGACATTGAAGAAGCCACCACGATCCCAATTCTTAGATATTTCTTTAACAATGATATTATTTTTGCTGCAAATTGCAGGGGCTTGGACTCGCCATTGGTGCAAGCTTGATGGACTTGAAGAAGGCTACTACTTTAGCTTCAGTTACTGTCATGACCTTCATGCTTGCTGGAGGCTTCTTTGTTAATGTAAGTACAAGATTCGACATCATCCATATTCTGCTATAGGGAAATGATTTCTTCTGTGTTTTCCTTTTACTGGATGAACATATTTGATAAGAAATCTGGTTACAGTGGAGCAACTCTTGAAAAGTTTTTCTAACTATTCACTGAAAATTTTCTGCAGAGAATCCCAGTTTTCATATCTTGGATACGCTACATGTCATTCAACTATCACACGTACAAGCTGCTTTTGAAGGTACAGTACGAGCATAGAATGCCAGTTGTTGGTGGAACCAGAATCGACAGTGGTTTAGAGGAAGTGTGTGCTCTGGTTGCCATGGTATTTGGCTACCGCATTTTGGCCTATATTTCTCTGAGGATGATGAAGTTACAGTCTGGTGCCTGATAGATTATAACAATCTTACAGTTTGGTGCCTGATAGATTATAACAAAGGATTGTTTATCAGGAACATGAGATGATCATCTAGCTAGCTTGTGAAAACCTTGTGTTCCAAGCCGAAGAGAAAGGGGAAAGTGAAGCTATAGCCTAAACTAGCAGATTTTCCACCTCTACCGAGTACCTGGTTCTTGTCAGGCTAAGACCTGCTCTGAAAAGATGGGTCTTTCCTCCTGGAATTAGGAAGCATGAAGATGAGCTTTTAGAAGTACTGACCGGGAACTCAAGTTCTTGTGCTAGAGTTTGACAATATGCAGTATTGCTAAACATTAATCCAGCACTGAAATTTCAACAATAAGACTTGGAGGATGGGAAGTAACTCTTGAGTGTGATATGGTATAACTAGCAGACTAGGTGCAAGTTTGGAATTTTGTAACACAAACTCGAGCCATAAGATGCATGTACAATTTTCGTTTGACATGAGACTTGGAAATCAGAAGCTTGATTACCAAGTTACTACCATGTTTCTATCTTTTGTCTTTTGATCATAATGTTTACCGCTTTGGAATTTGAAATATATGGCTCTCTATTCTCTGGCAAAACTGTTGTCCCAAAGGTTAAGAATGCTCAAGTCAGTGTCAACGAGCCAAGTAGACCAAGCAAGGCAACATCCAAAACAGGGGACTTCTTTTCAAGACCTGCAGTGGAAATTGCATATGAAATGGAACAAAATTTGCATTAAAGAACATACTTTTATAATTATTTATCTCATAGATGGGAAAAAGCAACACCATTGAAACATGAATAGAAGAACCAGCGTAATTCTGCATTATTTCATAACTAGCTTAAACCAGGCTCGTTTGCCAGAATGTTTGAAATTATTTTGATAAAATATCCAAATCAAATTCATTGTGAACAGATTGTGTATTTATATGTATCTTATAGGCCGTCCTATTTGGGCTGTGTCTTTACTTATTGAAGAGCTTTTACATAATCCTTCTCGGCCGTAGGGTTTACCTAAGATGAAACTGTCAAATAACATGTATGGAAAAATGCATGCGCAAATTGCAAATTGTAATGATCTAAAAGAGTTTCTTTGGAACCAAACTAAAGAAGATAATATAATATTGAAAGAAACCAATTTCGTCATGAAAGTACCACCTTTAACTTGCACAAATGTCACAGATCGATTGTCATATCATAAATCTATATTTTATAATAACTAAAACACCCATGAATTCAAAGTAGATACTAAAAGAAAGGACACTAGTTAGATGCAATAAAATTGAAACATACATATTATCAACGTGAAACAAATATTCATATTTGGGAATAAAAGTTTCGCACAGTCAACATCATCCCACAGTGGACATAAAAAGGATGGTTCTAATTGAATATAAACAAAACTGTCAAACATTAAAAAGTAGGATAGCGACTAAACATGGGATGTTATTACCGAATTAAATCACCAAACATCTTCCTTAGCCTTTGCTGAGGAAGAAAGATGCATAAACAATCTAATAAATTCCATATTTTAAATAAATACAAAATATATCAAACAACTAAACTAAAACAATCTTCCCAAACAAGCACTAAATGAATAAAAAGGTCACTGCTACTTTCATTCAGAAAGCAAAGTAGAAAGAAATATGATTTCGTGACAGGGGAAACAAACCCCCAAACCAAATTCAGTACTAAAGGAAGAAATGCATTGTAAAAAATCCCAAAGGAACAAACCAGAAGAATAATCCCTTAATTTAAAAAACCAGACCACATTCCACCAATGTATCAGACTCCATCTCACGTAAGTGATTAAAGCACTTTATTTTGAATAGTCGCCTGAGGGAACGACATCATCAATCATTCTTTTCAAGGAACTTGGGGTTTCAGGACTTGGCAATTCCTTTTGAAAAGCACCCAGGCATCCTCCCTTCTTCTCGGCAACATGTGGTGATTGACTGGAGGAAGCAGTGGTAGTCATAGATTGGCAAGAAGAGTGCGGAGTGTCGATTCCAAGCTCTAGATAATGAAGAAAGTGTTTCAAAAACTTATAAAAAGTTATTGACAAAAGCATAGACTTTAATTCAAATAAAACATGCAAATATAACGCTTGGTAAAAATACCTTCTCACTGTCCCTAACGTGCTCCGGGCATTCCATTTCACCAATAGTTTCTAGGTCAATTTCTTCAACAATTCTTAGCACACTGAGGTTGCTTGAAGGATGGGAGTACTCATAATCAGAAATCTTGATCAACAGCTCCAGTCCTTTACCTTGCTCAACCAACAGTGGGAAGGAAGATTGGTAGTGGTTGTAGCTTTACTCATGGAAAACAGATCCTCAACATCAACATTGAAAATTTTCGTTGCCGTATAGTCCAGCAACACTAGCTCTGTTGCATCAGTGTAATCACTGACACTGATGACAACACAGTACCTATTCATATTTGAGGAAACAAGCATTAATTAAATCTACTCAACAACCAATTCAAGAACATCTTTATGATGGTTGATTTGCCAATCTTTCCCAGTAAATGTATAAGAAAGGTTGAGTATACAATCCATTATCATCAATGATTTGAAGCATATAATTGAAACACTTTCAACCATAATATTCACTACTACTTATGCGATTGTCAAACATATAACAACAAAGGCTGTCTATGAGGTGGATTGAAGTCAAAATGTTAGGAGTACTAAAATACATACAACAAATCTTATGACTGAACGAGGAATGTAATTTATACACTTCTGATCTATGTAATTGGATAGAAATAAAATATAATATAGGAATAACAAAACTTAGGACATTACTAAATAGTCTTAATGGATACCTTTTCATAGCTTTAGTTGTAGTGCAGTTACATTTGCTGCAATAGTAAACACCCCTTTAACTTCAACCAAACGGTGACATGATGCGGTTGCACAACCATTATACGACCAGTTCTCATGCACTTTATCAACAACACAACAGAGTTTGACAGTTGTATGGAAACTGTAACAATGGAAATCGACGATTACTCTAAGAACAACTAAATCAGACTGAAAGTGGATCATAGGAGTCATTTGCAATAATTAACATCTATAAATGAGTGCCCTATAAATTCTCAATGTAATAATAGTTGAACTGCTATTACTATATATTATTACAAAGAAATGAAAGTAATAGTTCAAACACATAATTCGTATATGTTCAAATTAAAGCTGTAAGGAGTTGTACTATTGAAAAATTTACTGTAAAATTAATTTAGGCACTATCGTCAAATGACATTTTATTAACAGAACTTCATAGAGGGTTGTAGGTCAAGATATTGGAGACATCTTGATCTGGTGTGAGTCTGTGTACACGAATCCACTAACCAAACGATCAACTTGAGCTTATAATAAAAGACACAAATGAGTCTATGTACCACCTAAACCAATAATACTCATTCGAGCTTCATTGATATTGTGTTTCAAAGACCATATGTAAGCTCAAGTTGATCGTTTGGCCGACACCTCATTTTACGTGGTACCACGTAAATATGCATAGTTGTCGGGCTTCATTGACACGAATCTACTACCTTGCAAGGTAGTGGATTCGTGTCAATGAAGACAAGCCCAATTCCCAATCGACATTCCCAATTTACGTGGTACATACCTCAAATCCAACAATGTCAAAATCCTTACAAAAGTACAACAAATACAACAATTATGCATATTTATAAATCGTGGCACGCATATGGAAAATAATTAACGTTTTGAGTTAACACCATCTACTAGGGCTGGAAAACGGTGCAGTCTGGTACAGACCATATACACGGTCTGCGATCCAGACAGAGAGGGCAGAACAGAGACCATGGACCAGACCATAAAGTATATGGTCCAGGCCAGACCACGGCTATAAGGCGCGATCCGGTATGGTCTGGATCGCGTAGAATATGTTCAACAAAGGGGAAGCTAATTAATTATTACCATCAAAATATCGAACAAACAAAGGGGAGGCTGGTCGCGATAGGAGGATATTGGGTTGCAGGGGCCAGTCGGCAATGGCGGAGGTCGATGGCAGGCATGCGAAGGTCGCGGTCAGTGTCGGAGGTTGGCGATGGTGGAGGTCGATGTCGGACGTTGATTGCGATAGGGAAATTTGAGAACGATGGCGGAGGTCGATGGAGATGTTGGAGTTCGATGGCGGAAGTCGTGCAACAAAGCTGTTGGATAGTCGGTGGCGGATCAGATGATGGACACTCAGACAGACGAACGGGGAAGGTGAGGCTAGGGCAACGTCGCAGGAGCTAGGTTTTCTTCTCGACTCTCGGGTCTACCTTGCAAACTCTATGTCGATTGGGGATGTCGGCCAACGTGATGGGGAAGCTGCAGCTATTGGGAGCTAGGGCTGCGAGTAGTGAGAGGATGGAATTGGGCTTGGCCCTATGGGCTTCCGAGTTGGGCTTAGACCCTACTTAAATTTGGCCACGGTCTGGATGGTTAACCATGGTCTAGACCAGACCAAATCGTTCCAGACCGCAAGTGAAAGAGGCAAACCATGGACCAGACCAAATTGTATTTATGGTCTCACTATCTGAACCAAACCTTACGCACTACAGGAAAACGGGCTTTATGCAACACTCATCTTGCAACACTTTTCAGAAGTGTTGCATAAAATAGGTATAGGGCACACTTTATCTAAGTGTTGCTTAATATATATATTATGCGACACAAATTAGCAAACTTAATTTTCTTGTCGCATAATCCTAATAATATACAACACTTGTGCAATAAGAATAATTGTGTCCCTTATTCTTATATTTTAAGCAACATTTTGATACCTACTAACGATAGCAATATTATTAAATATGAGATCTGTTAGCAAAGTTACTAAATATGTGGTTTGAAAACTTATTTTAGTGTTCATTACGACTTTTTCATTCTTCATGCCATTGTAATACCATTTATTAGTTATGTAGAATTGAAAACTCTAAACAATCTACTTCCTAAGAGTTAAGCCCAAAAAGTTTACTGGAGGATAAAAATGAAACAAATTTATTTATTTATTTCCAAAATTTATTTAATTTCTTTTAGCCCCGCCAATCGGTGTTTAGCTTAGAACAAGGTAAGGTAACACTATGATTTTCAGTTTTACGAGTAATATATGTTACATTTCAAATTTAACTTATAACTATAACTAAAGAATAAAAGACATTCCTTTTGCTTGGAGTTAAAGAGGGAAGAAAAGGCTTAGAAACTTAGCATAAAAAACTTAAGAGATTTAAGAATCCAAAGTTTTAAAAGAAAGAAAAAGCCCCTCGCAATACCTCTTAATAATAAGGGAAGAAAATCATAATATAATTAAGTATTATATTTTGTCAAACTAGGATATATGCTGCGCTTGTATCTTAAATCCCGTAGTCTAATTTCACTTTGGTTTTTTTCTTAGGGTTTCCTTTACTTTATGTGCCGCTATGATCTCACGCCGCTATTATTCTCCATACAAGATCCGGATCTCGCAACAGCAGTCATCAATTCACTCGGAGTATTCTAGCTAGTAAGACTTTCGTTACTTTGCTTCCGATCTAATGTTGTATGGTGTTTATTTTAATTTTGTTATCGGCTTATAGATGGCAGTGATGAAGTCTCAGATCAGCGGATGATGGACATACAATCAGCTTCCGGAGACAAGAAAGCGGCAGAGGGATTGCTCAAAC